ACACTCAAAACGGAAGTGTGGCACTCAAAACAGAGCACATTTGGCTTCTGAAAAAAGTTCGCAAACCGGAACACTTCCTTCCGGGTTTGCAGTGTTTGGGTTCCAAGTTGTTTGAGTACCAAGGCGTTTGGCAACCAAGCGACCAATGTAGAGCCTGTCAGATCAGGCCCATGGCATCCTGTTGAACAGCTCTGACCCTCAGAAATTTCTTCCTAATGTTGAGTCTGTTGCAGGAATTTATGTATAGGTTGGGGGGATGTTTCCCCTCCAGCAGATATCATGCACATGCAGCCCACTACCAAAACCAGCACAATCACTTTTGTGACTTTTGTGATTTGTCCCCACAAAACACTTCATCATGGTTTCTTCCTATCTATTCAAAGGCCCTCTGCTGCACGATACCAAATGTAAGAATTCACTGATCAATGTATCTATGTACTGGCTCACTGGGAAAACTTCAGAAATTCATATGGACAGGTGAGCTCAGCTCCTCAGCAGCCCCTCTGCCTGAGTGATAATCCCTGGCATCCTGATACCTGAGTGCCAGACAGGTAGCCATTCCAGAAATAACAAACCCAGATGAAGACAAAAGGGTGTGATTAACTTGGCTGGGAAACAGGGAAATGTAAATATCTTTTTTGTTCCACTTGATGGGTGTTTGGTGGAGGGCAAGGAGAACCATGGGGCAGGGTCCAGGATGCTCAGATTCCTGCCACCAGACCTCCCCTTTCATGATGTAACCGTGATGTAGTTTGGGGGGTGGTTAACATGGGGATTAGCAGCTAATAAAAGTTTGGGTTCTCTTTTGTTCGGGGCTCCCATCTTGTTCCACCTTGAGGCAGGTGGGAGTCCTGTCGCGACAGTCTTCCATAAAGACCAAGCCGACTGGCTGCTGTTTTGCTCTGGTATTCCTGGCTGGTGTCCTTGTTTTTTGCCCAAGGGAGCCCTCAGATTTCTCCGTTAACAGTTTGGGGCCCTCAGATTTCTCTGTTAACAAGTCAGAATCTCCTTTCTTGTCATTTGAACCCATCGCTTTGGGTCCTGCCCACCATCTTGCACATGGTGGGAGATACATTAAGATGGCTCCCCCATCTCTTCTTTTCCGGGCGAAACAGACCCGGGTACCGCAACTGTTCCTCACCGGGCTTGGTTTCCAGACCCTTCCACCCTCATTTCAACTGGGCTTGCGCAGGAGAACCTCGCTGGGATCCTGCTGTGTGCAGCTCATCTTTTTCCATCTCCATCCGCGCTTGCCTCACCGACGCCCGGCCTCAGCCGAAACAGCCAACATCTGGGTCCCCAGGCCGGTGCCCAAAATGGAGCAGCCTTTTCTGTTAGCCGCGCGTTAATATAATTGATTACCGCGAGACGGGCCTTATTTGCAGGGGCCATTTAGTTAATTACGCCTGGATGGGGGAAGCGCGCTCGCTAATTGCTGCTCTTGGACGGCGCCGCCAAACGGATGCAGGTGCAGCTATGCCAGGGAAGCCTTTGGAACGGCTGGTTTGCGCCGGCGGCTGAGAGAGTTGGGAGCCACAGAACGAAGCCCTGCTTCTCCTTCGCCTCCCCCTCCCCGTTACGAATCAGGAGATCCTCTCCTCCAGGGAAAATCTAGGGAATAAGCAGACCCAGAGGAGGCAGCGGGGCTTCCGGATTTCAGTTGCTGCAGAGTGAAGGAGGGGAGAGGGGTCTTGCGTTCGAATCCTGATTGCGGGTTTCCCATTGGGGCATTGGTTGGCCACTGTGAGAACAGGATGCTGGACTAGGGGGGCCATGGGCCTGATCCTGCAGGGCTCGTCTTATGTTCTTAAGACTGTAAATACACATTCAAGCTAGGGAGACTTCCTAGTTTGGCTCTGGAAAAGGACTTCGATGGGACTGGGGAGCTCTGGGCTGTAATGTTGGTGCACAAGAGATAGCATGGTCTGTATCCCCTGGAGCAATTGTTGGCGGGGGGGGGAGAAGGGGGGTGCATGGCAGAGAAAGAAAGGGTATGGCGGGAATTACTGAAGGAGCGTCTCCACCCCCATCGTTCAGCACGGACACTGAGCTCCGAGGGCCATCTGGAGGTTCCCTCCGTGCAAGAAGTGAGGTTGCGGGGAACCAGGCAGAGGGCCTTCTCGGTGGTGGCACCCGCCCTGTGGAACGCCCTCCCTTCAGATGTCAAGGAAATAAACAACTAGCTGACTTTTAGAAGACATCTGAAGGCAGCCCTGTTTAGGGAAGCTTTTAATGTTTGATGTTTTATTGTGTTTTTAATATCCTGTTGGAAGCCACCCAGAGTGGCTGGGGAGGCCTGGCCAGTTAGGCGGGGTACAACTAATAAATTATTATTATTATTATTATTATTATTATTATTATTATGAGACCCAGAGAGGAAATATGCATGGCTCAGGGCCTGTGGAACTCCCTCACACAGGAAGCAGTGACGGCTACCAACTTGGACACCTTTAAGAGCGTATTAGAAAAACTCCTGGAGAAGAGGGCCGTTCATGGCTGCCAGCCACGATGGCTGTGCCCTGCCGCCACACTCAGAGGCAGCCATGCTTAGAGATACCAACTGTGGGAGGCCGCAGGAGCGCAGAGGACGCTTGTGCTCGGACCCTGCTTTAGCACTTCCCCCTGGGGCATTGCTGGGAGAATGGGATGCCGGGCAGGGCAGAGGCGGGGCCATGGGGGCAGGGCGAGCATCCCATGGGGGCAGAGCGAGTCACCCTATGGCGGGCTGCTTCCTGGGCAGAGGTGTGGAGCCGTGCCGCTTTGCCAGCAGCCTTCCTCCCTTCCCTCTTCCTTTTGACAGTGTGCTGGCCCGGGACTCGGGCTCGGCCTCGGAGCCAGAGGAGTCTCAGTCCGCACCGGATCCTTTGCCCCAAGCGGCATCCGAACCTAGTCTGGGGCCTGATTCTGAAGAGCCCCAGTCTGCCCAGGTTCCCCTGCAACAAGCACCAGCTGGGCCGAGTCAGGGGCCTGATCCTGCCCTGGCTCCAGATGTGGAGATGACCTCGTTGCCTTCAGCTGGGCCATCACTTACAGCTGCTCCACTACCGGTTGGGTCAGGAGGGGCTAAGGCGGCCCCTGGGTCTAGGAACCCACCGACGTCTCCTGAGCTGCAGAGACTGAGGTCGGAGAGAAGGAGAGACCTGAGTACTCGCAGGAGGAGTGCTCTCCTTCGGGCGAGACAGGGAGGTGAGTCACTGGGGGATCAGGACCGGCTGTTACCCCGACAGAGATAAATGGCTGTCGGACCCCGCCCCAGGTTGTGGGAGCAATGTTGCTGTATGCTAGAACCTGCCTGAGACCCTGTGCCTGTCATTGCCTGGTTTCCTGCCTCAGCCCTGTCAGACTGACTCCTCGCAGAACCCTTGGATTTGGGACTGGGACTGGACCGCGTTACTCAGGTTACCCCCGGGCCCAGCACACACAGCTCACTGGAGGCTCCCCCCACCCCCCGGAACCATCCCATTGGACGTACCCACGGCAGATTTGCAGTAGCTGGCCTAACACCAGATTTCTGAGTGCGGGGATGGACTTTGGTAATAACGGCGTCCTGAGCAACGACAAAATCCACCCCAATATTTCTTATTTTTACAATAATTCCTTTTGGTGCAGCTGCTTTCTAATGGATCTTCTCATATAAATATAGGTTTTATTATAATTTCACGCCACCTTGGCTTAATAATAATAATAATAATAATAACAACAATTTTATTATCTATACCCCACCCGCACAGCCCTAAATCTGGGGTGGGAGGTTAAGTGGGGCAGATTGTTGGTTCGATTTGAAGGGAAGGGTGAGGTTTTGTTTATCTGCTAATTACTGGGTGTTTGAATACTGCTAGTGTTGTTTGCTACTGTTTACGGGTCTGGTTTGCTGCTTTTGTTTTCCCGTAAGTTGTATTCTGTATGAAATGTTAATGTATTATATTATCCCTGCTTTTCCTGCTATGCTATTATGCGTGGGCCTATATTTTTCTTTAATGCAAGTTCCTTAGAGACCTGCGGATTACAAGCGACTTATAAATTGTGTTTTTCTTTTCTTTTGTCATGGGCTGGACAGGGAGAGCCAGGTTCAAATCCTGACATGGTCATTTGTGAAGCTCAACCACTTCCTCTTCCCTTGCAGGTTTGTTTTGAGGATGAGGTGGGAGGTGCAAATGCCAAAAGCCAATCAGGAATAACTTCCTCTCCATCCTCCCAGCTGGAACCTGGTGCCCAAGCAGAGGTTTTGGCCTACAACTCCCATCAGCCTTAGGCAGCATGGCTTGATGGGAGTTGTAGTCCCAAACCTCTAGCTCTGCACCAAGCATTCTGGTCTCACTTTTCTCCTGAGTTCTCTGTCCAACCAGGGCATGTAGCAGCCAGGGTATTGTGCAGCTAATGGGCTGAACTTCAGTGCTCTGCCTTAGTCTTATCTCCTCCCCTTAACGACACACTGATCTCAGCTAATTTGCACAATACAGTGGTACCTTGGGTTACATACGCTTCAGGTTACATACACTTCAGGTTACAGACTCCGCTAACCCAGAAATAGTACCTCGGGTTAAGAACTTTGCTTCAGGATGAGAACAGAAATTGTGCAGCGGTGGCGCAGAAGCAGCAGGAAGCCCCATTAGCTAAAGTGGTGCTTCAGGTCAAGAACACTTTCAGGTTCAGAACGGACCTCTGGAACGAATTAGGTACGTAACCAGAGGTACCACTGTATATGGAGCAGAATTTGGGCTCCCTTCGCCCAGCATCCATATTTATCATTTTTGTTCAACGGGAAAGAAAATCAGCTGTGATGACCTGCTGTTGTAGGGGGTTGGACCAGATGACCCATGGGGTCTCTTCCGATGCAAGAGTTTCATGAGTCCGTGAAAAGCGTATTCTTGGCAAATAGGACAGTAATGTTTCTCTTGCCCACTTAACCAGATAGGCAACCCCAGAGGGGTGTGTGTGTGTGTGTGTGTGTGTGTGAGTGAGTGAGTGAGTGTGTGTGTGAGAGAGAGAGAGAGACCCAGTTAACCATGGCCATTGTACTTTATTGATAAGGTGACATTGGCTAGTATCCAAGACGTCAATCCAACGCATCTGGTTCTTGGTCCCAGTTAGGGTTCTCCCCTCTAGGCTTGGGCCCACCACTCTTCTTGGCCATCATGACCTCGCTTACGCCCAGCAGCGTGACGGCCGTCTGGGTCGCAAGCGTGATGCCTCGGTACTTCACCAAGAATGGGTCGAACAGCCCTTCTTTGGCGGCATCAATGGTGCCCGCCTCCTCGCTCGCCAGCCTGAGGCCCGTGTTCTGGGTGCCCAGCTGGTGCTGAACCTCCATCTTGGCCATCACCTCGTTGACCGGCAGGCCTGCGTTTTCCGCCAGGGTAGCCGGGAGGGTCTTCAGGGCCTGGGAGAACTCCAAGATGCCGTACTGCTCGGACCCGGGGAAGTACATCCCCAAGGTACTCAGCCGCACCGACAGCGCCATCTCGGTGGCCCCGGCGCCAGGGAGCAGCCGGGCGTCGCTGCCCAAGACCTTGTAGACGTTGATGCCATCGTGGATGGCCTCCTCCACACAGTCTAACATCTCCGTGGTGGCCCCTCTGAGCACGATGGTGACCACAGGGCAAGCGATGCCGTCTTGGCTGAAGACGACCACGTTGGTGCTGCCAATCTCGCTCATGTAGACGCGGCGGCAGTGGCCCAGCTCCTCGGGCGCCGGCGGGGTCACGGTCAGCAGCAGCGTGGCCCCCACCGCCTTGCACAGGTGCTGTAGCTCCATCCGGGAGCGCAGCCGGACGACCATCAGCCGGTACCGGTTGGCGTAAAAGAGCGCCATCTCGTGTACCTTGCCCCCGACCACCACCACGGTGACGCCGGCTCTGGCCAGGTCCAGAATCCGCTGCTCGATGATGTTCTCTTCGCTTTTGCTGAAGAGCTTGATGTCCGACGCGCTGTTGAAGACGACGGTGCTCTTCGCCTCGAAACCAGACGGGCCGAAGCAGCAGGAGTAGGCCGCGATGCGGGCCCTCTCCATGCGCCGGACGATCCCTTCGGCCTCCGCGCAGACGACCACCCCTTCCACCACGCTGGAGTCGGCCACGCCGCCCCCGAGGATCTTGCAGACGCGGATGAGGTCCGCGTTGAAGGCCGCGCGGTCCGGCGGCAGCACCAGGATGCAGGCCTTGGCCACCAGCTTGGCCAAGGCTTTCTGGTGGCCAAAGACTTTGCTGCCCACGGCGGTTTGCAGGACCCACAACACCTCTTCGACGTCCCGTGGGTTCTTCAGGACGTAGCAGGACAGGCCGGGGAGCAACCGCAGGACCTCCTTGCAGGCCATCTCGTAGCCGGCCCGGATGTGGACCACCGGCAGCCCTGAGTGCAGGAGCTTTTCGGCGTTCTCCAAGAGCGCCCCGGCCAGGAGGATGACGAAATTGGTCCCGTCCCCCGTCTCCACTTCCTGCGTCTCGGCCGCGGTGCGAAGAAGGCAGGCCACCGGGTTCTCCAGCTCCAGCTCCCGGAGGATGGTGGCGGCATGGGAGGTGTGGAAGTTCTTGCCGAGGTGGTTGACCACCAGCTTGTTGCGGCCCAGGGGGCCGTAGCAGGTGCGCAAGGAGCGCACCAAGGCCTTGCAGGCTGTGAGGTTGCTGAAGAGGGTTTCCTGCAGGCCACTGAAGTACTTCATGCCCGCCTTTAGCATCTGGGGCAGCCCGGGGGCTTGGGGTACGTGGGCAGCCATCACCTGTGGAGGGAGAGGCACAGGGTGGGCTTCAGTGTTTGGGAAGTCCACCTGGCAATGGGAAAGCGCCATCCCCAGCCCCTGGCAGGATGTAGGGATGTGGGAAACCAGCCATGGCAGCCATTTTGTAAATACAGGGCCATTTTGTAAATACAGGGCCAGGTATATGGCCTCACCCCAGTATACCTGAAGGAGCGTCTCCACCCCCATTGTTCAGCCCGGACACTGAGCTCCAGCTCCGAGGGCCTTCTGGCGGTTCTCTCACTGTGATAAGCCAAGTTACAGGAAACCAGGCAAAGGGCCTTCTCGGTAGTGGCACCCGCCCTGTGGAACGCCCTCCCACCAGATGTCAAAGAGATAAACAACTACCTGACATTTAGAAGACATCTGAAGGCAGCCCTGTTCAAGGAAGTTTTTAATGTGTGACATTTTAATGTATTTTAAATCTTTGTTGGAAGCCACCCAGAGTCGCTGGGGAAACCCAGCCAGATGGGCGGGGTACAAATAATAAATTACTATTACTATTACTATTACTATTCTGCCTCCTTCTCTTCCATCCACCCTTTCTCCCTTCTGTCTCTGCACCTCTCACAGCCTCCCAAAATCCTCATGAAGATTCTTCAACATTCTAGTGAAAATTTACCCCAACAGACCCATTTTTCTATACAGAGTAACGCACCTACTGTTGAAAAGCAATTTCCCCAGATGTAATGAAGTTTTGCATATAATATTTTTTCTAACATATCCATTTTTGCAAAGCACTTTTCCTTAATACAGTATACCGGATTTCCCCAAACGTAATGCATTTTTGTACGCCTTTTTCACTCATTTGTGCTTTTACAGTGGTACCTTGGTTCCCAAACCCCTTGGTTCTCAAACGCTGAAAACTCGGAAGTAAGTGTTCCGGTTTCTGAATGTTTTTCGGAAGCTGAACGTCCGATGGGGCTATCGGCTATTGTTTCGGGGGCACCTGCACCTTCGTTTTTGAACATTTCGTAAGTCAAACGGACTTCCAGAACGGATTATGTTTGGCACTTTTGTTTTTGCTACTTATTTTAAAAGCGTTTTTGTTTTTAAAGCTTTTTCGGTTAATTTGTTTTTGTGACTGTGTGGAACCCAGTTCAGCTACTGACTGATTGTGCGACTGCAGAAATGGATAAAAGCCCCCCATCCAAACAATGACTATCATCAGTGCACGTATGATTTTATTTTTTTAAAAAAATTATCATCTACAATACTGATTTATTTTATAGTACAGTACATTGATTATTGCTTTCATTTTATGGATCAATGGTTTCGTTAGTGAGTAAAATTCATGTTCAATTGCTGCTTTAGGCGTTGTTTTTAAAAGTCTGGAACGGATTAATCCATTTTGCATTACTTTCTATGGGAAAACACGCCTTGGTTTTGGAACGCTTTGCTTTTAGAATGGACTTCCAGAACAGATTAAGTTTGAGAACCAAGGTACCACTGTATACGGATACTTTGCCTTAGCATATGAATTTTCAAATGCATTATGTGGCTGGAAAAAGGCATGGTAAAATCCAAGAAGGGCACGTTGCGAAGGACGGCTTGTGTTTTGGTTCGTGTGTATTTCCACATATACTGTATATGTTCTACTTGTCCCACCACTTCTTCTTCTCTTGATCTTATTTTAAAGGTATGTAACATTTTCTAAAAATCCAAATATATACGGCATTTGTTTCTGTACATTTATGTGCAAATTCACCTGATGAAATACAGACAGTGAACCCTACAGATTCAGCTTCCGGTAACATGATGTAAGCGCCATCTTTGTAGCATTTCACGGATTCCATTTGTTTTGTCATCGCAAGGACATCTTGAAATTTCTGTACTGAGGCCATACATATGCTGAAAATAGGCTTCTTTTTCCACTTTTCGGGAAATGCGAACGAAGTAAATTTGCCCTTTTAATGTGAAGTGGATCGAATTTCTTCCCCCTGCTCCTGTTTTGGCTCCCAGGAACCCTGTGCAATGTCCCCTCTTTTCCCCTTCACATCCTCCCTCAAAACCCACCTTTTCCACGAGCCCCTTAACACCACCACTTTCTTCCCATGCCTTCCTGAAACGGAGCCTAAGAATGTATATTATCACTTAGCTCTAAGGCTTAACCTGCTGCTTTCATTTTGTGTCTGCTGATACAGACTGCCTTGAAATCTAGCCCGATGGAAGGTTTTAATAAATAAAACACATCTGTTTCGCCAGGGGTGGACTTTGGTACTGTGGCACCCTGTGCGAGGCCAAAATTGGGCGCCCCCAAATGGATCTCCTCAGTTATGGATCTTCTCAATTTTGCACCCCATCGGCTCGGCGTCCTTCATGGGGGAACCATCCTAAATTTGGTGCCAGTTTCACTGTAATACTTGCAGATTCGTCCTTGTTTATGGCTGCCTGCATTCCCTTCCCCTTCCTCTGTTCCTTTGGGTTATTTGTTGTATTGTAGGTCCCTTGCGGGCAGGGAACTGCCCGCTTAATTTTTGGCAACGGCACACTTTCCACAGGTGCCACGATACAGAGTAAGATGTGTGGGTCTTATACCAGCCGTCCCAAAATTGCTAAGAATATGGCTGTGTCAAGCCTCAAGTTTAACCCCGTGGGCTGCTTTCCCTTAAAGGAAAATAGATTGCCAGTGGTTAATTCCCACCCCCTTTTCTCTAAGGACTTGGGGCTTTAGACAGCCTGAAAACCCTTCACTTGCCCCTACAACCTTCTGCCCGTGCATCAAGAGGCAACCTACTGGAGCAAAGCGAGAAGAGACGTCTGGAGATTGCCAGGGAGCTCCGAGGTGCCAGGACTCGGCTGGCAGAATCAGCCGTTTAACGGCTGCTTCTGGGGTGGGAGGTCGAGGGGGGTGATGTCACAGTGGCGCATTCCAGCGGGCACAGAGCACCTTCCTGTGAGGCCATGTGGGACCCAGGCACAGAGTAACCCTCCTTGTGTGCACTGTCCCTGCCGACTGCCAGCCCAGCTTCTGATGCACAAAGCATGTCTCTGCTGGGGTAGATTGCCACTGAACAAGACGTAAAGGTGCAAAGGCGCTCGTATCTATAGTGGTACCTTGGGTTAAGAACTTAATTTGTTCTGGAGGTCCGTTCTTAACCTGAAACTGTTCTTAACCTGAAGCACCACTTTAGCTAATGTGGCCTCCCGCTGCCGCCGCGCCGCCGGAGCACAATTTTTGTTCTCATCCTGAAGCAAAGTTCTTAACCCGAGGTACTATTTCTGGGTTAGTGGAGTCTGTAAGCTGAAGCGTATGTAACCCAAGGTACCACTGTATTGATGTCACAGGCTGCAGAGTTGTCCCAAGACATTTCTGCACCTGATCCAGAAAAAAAGAAAGAAAACCTTTTATCATATGTGGTGGACCTGTAAAGTAATAAAAAAATTCTGGGAAATGATATATAATGAAATGGAAAAAAAATGTTTAAAATAACTGTAATGAGTATGAGTTACTCGTGCGTAAACTGGTGCCTCTCTAGGCTAATTTGCCTTGTTAAACCTTTCTGACTGCACAGCCCTTTCTCATCGTGGCTGCCTCAGTCGCTGGCAGAATCCGTCAGTGGGCGTTTCTTGAACCTCTTCCAACATAAAAGTTGTTTGACACCCAGTCTCCTCCTCCTCTCACTGCGCGGGAGTCTTCTGCGCAGGGAGGGCGTGGGTAGCGGAGGACCTGTCCCCTCCTCACTGAGGTCCAGTGAAGAGTCCTGGAGCCCTCTCTATCCCTCATCTGCCCCCCTTTATCCCTGGTGTTGCGCTGATTTGCTTCCCCCTCTACTGAGCTGTTTCTCCCCCTGCTGCTGGGTCCTTCGCCAGCATCATCTAGGAGCCTCCCCTTCGCCTCTCGCTCCGATGTCAGTTCCCTGACAATAACCTTTGTTAAAAAAAACCCAAAAGCTTTTCTATTAGGAATTATAGGTACTGAGATCCTAAAGGACCCAGAAAAGACTGTTCACGTACGTGACGACAGCCGCACGGATGTTATTTGCCCAGAGATGGAAGGAAGAGACAACCCCAACCAGAGAAGAATGGCAAACCAAGTTGATGGACTATGCCAAAATGGCAAAATTAACTGGGGAGCTTGGGAACCAAGAAGACAAGAACTTCAAAAAAGAATGGGAAAAGTTCATAATTTATATACAAAATCATTGTAAGCAGGTTAAAACATTGGCAGGGTTTTAAACACACTTGTAATTTAACAGAATCGATGGATAATTTAGAAAGATTTTTTTTTAATGGAGAAGTATTAATATGCAATTGAAAATGGGCTCAATAGGACCCATGGAAGGGGGGGTGGAGTCAGGAAATTCAGAGTAATCTTGATATTTGGATTTGGAAATTGGTTTTGTTGTATGTTTATATTTTTGAAAATCAAATAAAGATTTATTTCATAAAAGGAAAAAAAGAAAACCTTTTGTTCACGAACGATGTGGGGTGCAACCCATTGCGACACACTCCTGTGGAAAACCTGTTGAATGGACTGTGGCTTGTCGTTCCCTCTTGTAAGAATGTAAAAATAAGGCTGCTGGATCAGGCCCGTGGCCATAGGGGGTCTCATAGTGGCCAGCCTGAAGCCTCTTTCTGGAAACCCACAAACAGAATCCGAGCTCAACAGCGTTCTCTCCCTCCAGCAACTGCTGACCCTCCATGTGTCCCTATTTTCCAGGGACAGCCCCGGATTTACAGAAGCCATCCTGGTTTCTGGTTTGATCCCGGAATGTCCCGCTTTTCCTTTTTACGTCCCTATTTTCATCAGAGAAATGTTGGAGGGTATGCAACTGGTACCCAGAAGATCGCGGCCTCCAGCCACAGAGGCAGAGCCAAGCCATTGTGGCTAGTGGCCATCAACAGCCCTCTCCTCTGTGAATTTGTCTAAATGGATTTGCAGCTGGAAGAATTAGCTAGTTGGGGCTGGCTGATCGCTCACGTCCCTGGTCTTTAATAGAATGTGGGGAAGGTGCTGTTTTGAGGGTTTAGGGCAGGGTTTGAGGAGGAGAGAGTTACTACTGTATTGTCTTTTTTGGAGGAGCCATAAGGAAAATAATGGAGCCACCCCAGGAATTGGTGCCATTTTGGAACGGCCTGGATTAGATGTTCTGCATGTGTGATGGCAAGACTCTGGGACTGTGCTGATTCTGCCGTGGGGCAGGCGTAGTTTGGGATGGCCTCTGTTATGTACTGAGTTGAATAGGATCCAAACTGCAGCAGTCTGATTGGTCCTAGAACAATAGGATCCAAAATGCAGCAGTCTGATTGGTCCTAGAACAATAGGATTCAGAATGCAGCAGTCTGATTGGTCCTAGAACAATGCAGCAGTATGATTGGTCGGCAGGAGCCACCCAATCCAGCTCCAGATAGAAGTGAATCCACAACCTGATTGGCCTACAGGAGAATTCCGGAATTAGCCAATCAAGTGCAGCCCATTGTGTAAATAATGTATATAAAGCAGATACTTTCGGGAAACTTTCATTCCTCCTCACCACTATGAACTGAATAAAGAGCATGAAATCCACTCTTGACTCTGAGTATATTTCAGCCTCCTTCTCATAACTGTTTTTCAAGCCATCTGTCCAAAATCCAGCAAAACGGATTTGAACAAAGACACCGCTGGGGTCCTGATGTTACCCTGCAAGGGTAACTGGGTGGCACGGCCTGCTCTGAACCTTCCCACCGCTCTGAGGTGAGCCAGATGGGTGTGCCAAACAGGCCTCAGAGCATGCTGTGCCCTGGCATTTTGTCAGAGGGTGGCATTCTCCCACCCGCTTATAATGGGGTACTTAGAAAGTCATCACTGGGCAATTTACCTAATGATGCCCCTCGTGTGAAGACTTTAATGACTTTGGTTGTTTTTTTTTATAAAAAAAAAATCCCTTCATTTATCTAGGCCACGTGAATTTCTCAGCCGGCAGCTGGACTGTTTGGGTAGCAACAAGACAGCCGGACCGACTTTAGCATCCAAGGAGAAATTTCTGGGCACGCCTAAACTAACAGCCTGTGTTCCCTGCGCTGGAAGAGCGAGTCGGCTTCTGGTAACGCAGGGGATTTTGGACGGCAAGGAATCCGAAGTCTCTGGGAAAACTTAGCACCATTGTTTTCGTTCTGCGGTGGCGTTGAGGGGAGGGCTGAACCCCTTCAAGGCACACCCAATGCACATTTAAAGCACACAGCTTCCCCCCCAAAAATCCCAGGAGCTGCAGTTTGCTCTGCAAGGGGGAAACTACAGTTCCCATTGTGATGTACTGAAGATCTCACCCTGGGCCAGCAGGGGGATACTGTAGATAGTTCAGGTCCACATATGCAAATAAGGGATCGAAAGTGACGTTCAGTGATTGGATAGTTACAGAAAATGGTTACTGCTGCGTTGTACTGGAGCTCTATATAAGCAGGCTGGCTGAACCCTTCAGTTCAGTTCTGTTCTGGCCTGTGAATAAACAAGAGCTGTTTGAAGAATCGCTGTGTCGTCTGATATGTTCACCCACAACTTAACACCCATGATTCCTTTTTTGGGGGGGGGTGTTACATGCGCATTGAATCCTCATGGTCCCTTCCAACTCTATGATTCTATGATTCTTCTGGGGTTAAGCTTGGGCTGTGCATCTTAAAAGCCACAGCTTCAGACTTCCTGCTTAGACGGAAACCGTGGCCTCAGACTTAGCCTCGGCACAGGAATCCCAACTGCCCCCCCCCCGCCAGCTGAGGGTTCTTCCCCCTGCTCCATGGGCCTGGCTTTTTTAAATTCTTGCCGCAGCTCTGGCCCCCGAAATCTGACCCCCTGACCCTGGGCCCTCGCTCCTAGAAGGCGCCACCAGGGCCATGCAACCGTTGCCTTCTCTTTTATGCCCTTGCTTCCTTTCCAGATGTTGCCCTGGTGCATTCCTAATCGCTCTGGTTCCCTCCGTCCCAGTCGGTCGTCCGTCCGTTCCCCCCCCCACTCCCTCAGCCCTCCTGTAGCTCTCCCTCTTTCACATGATAATGCCTTTGCCAGAAATATTTGGGCAGTGAATTTCAAAATAATTAAAAAAAGCTGCTGCGTATGTGTTGGGCGAGTGAGAGCAAGACAGGAGGAAGATTTCTGCTCCCAGGGGATCCCGAGCAATAGTGATTTCGGCCCTCGAGAAATTGCTTGGACTGTGGAGAAGACTGATTTGGGCCTGCAAAGAGGTGTTCTCTCCCAGGGCTGGGCGCAGGAGAAACGATGCTAAATGAATGGTGATGTGGCTTTTTGTTTTTTTTTTTTTTAAAGCAATTTATTGGGTTTTACAATAAGAATAAACATGATAAACAATATAACATTTGTCTTAACATAGTTTCACATTTTCTTTGGACTTCCTCACATCCCCCGCTCCCACTTTCATCGTTATAACATTTTGTCAGCAATTTATCATCTTATTTAAATTCTTATATCTCTTCAATGTTTCATAATCTTATAGTTCTCATAAAGAGTTAAACTTTCACAGTCTTACTTGTTTTCTTAAAAACTTCTAAGTTAAGTGGTGCTCAGTTATTTAGTCTAGCATCTTATTTAGCATTCACTCAAATCACAATATTTTTGTAGATAGTTCTTAAATTTCTTCCAATCCTCCTCGATTCTCTCTTCTCCCAGGTCACGGATTCTGCCGGTCATTTCAGCCAGTTCCATGTAGTCTATCAGTTGCATCTGCCATTCTTCCAGTGTGGGTAAATCTTGAGTTTTCCAATGTTTTGCAAGAAGTATCCTTGCTGCTGTTGTTGCATACATAAAAATGTCTGGTCCTTCTTTGCCACCCCTTGGCTGACAATACCCAGAAGGAAAGCCTCTGGTTTCTTGGTAAAGGTATATTTAAATACCTTTTCAATTCATTATAAATCATTTCCCAGAACGCCTTCACTTTAGGGCAGGTCCACCAGAGGTGGAAGAACGTTCCCTCACACTCTTTACATTTCCAACACTTATTATCAGACAGGTGGTAAATTTTTGCAAGTTTAACTGGGGTCATATACCATCTATAAATCATTTTCATTACATTTTCTTTCAGAGCGTTACATGCAGTAAATTTCAATCCATTACTCCACAACTTTTCCCAGTCCTCAAACATAATATTATACCCAATATCCTGTGCCCACCTTATCATAGCCGATTTAACCATTTCATCTTGTGTATTCCATTCCAACAGCAAGTTATACATCCTTGAAAGTACCTTAGTCTTTGGTTCTAACAATTCTGTTTCTAATTCGATTTCTCCACCTGGAACCCTAGTTTCTTATCATTTTTAAAAACTTCTTTAATCTGAGCGTAATGTAACCAATCTCGCACTTTGTCTTTCATTTTCTCCAAACTCTGCAATTTCCAATTGTCTCCATCTTTTTTCTAGTATTTCCCAATATTTTGGCCATTTAGCCTCCATATTGGGTCTTTTTCGGGCCTTAGCTTCCAAAGGTGAAAGCCACCTTGGTGTTTTATTTTCCAGCAAGTCTTTATATTTTGTCCAGACATTATACAATGATTTTCTGACAATATGGTTCTTGAAGGCCTTATTTGCTTTAACTTTGTCATACCATAAATATGCATGCCATCCAAAAACATTATTAAACCCTTCCAAATCCAACACATCAGTGTCTTCAAGAAGTAGCCATTCTTTTAGCCAGCAGAACGCTGCGGCTTCATAATACAACTTTAAGTCCGGCAGGGCAAAGCCCCCTCTTTGTTTTGCGTCAGTTAATATCTTAAACTTGATTCTGGGCTTTTTGCCCTGCCAGACAAACTTCAAAATATCTCTCTGCCACTTCTGAAAGCACTCCGTTTTGTCCAAAACCTGAAGTGTTTGAAATAAAAACAACATCCTTGGCAATACATTCATCTTAATAGCAGCAATTCGGCCTAACAAAGAAAGTTTCAATTTTGACCAACTATCTAAGTCTCTCTTAATTTCTGCCCAACATTTTTCATAGTTATCCTTAAATAGACTTAGATTTTTTGCTGTTATGTTTACCCCTAGGTATTTTACTTTTTAACCACATTAAGTTCCGTCTCATTCTGAAACCGTTCTGACTCTGTATCAGTCAAATTTTTCCCCAAAACCTTAGTTTTCTGTTTATTTAATTTAAATCCCGCCACCCGACCAAAATCATTAATCAATTGTAATACTCTTTTCGTACTGGGCTCTGGCTTCTGCAGGGTCAAAACCAGGTCATCTGCAAAAGCTTTTAGTTTATATTGTTTCTGACCAACCTGAATTCCTTCCACCAACCGATCCCCTCTAATCATGTTCAGTAGCACTTCCAGAACCGAAATAAATAACAAAGGGGAAATAGGGCAACCTTGTCGTGTCCCTTTTTCAATTTTGAACTCTTCTGTGACCACATTATTAACTATCAGTTTAGCTTTCTGTTCTGAATATATCGCCTCAATCCCATTCTCAAAACCCCGTCCCACTCCCATCTCTTTTAAATTTCCCATCATAAATTTCCAAGAAATATTGTCAAAGGCCTTCTCCGCATCTATGAAAATTAAAACTGCTTTTGTATTTATATCTGTTTGTGATGTGGCTTTTTGGGCTTACCTAAAATTAAAATAAAAATGAGATTTTTGCAGCATTCACAGTAGGCTTGTTTTGAGTGAGTCTTGCTTCAGAGTTCCCCAAATGTTGAAGGGGTGGTGAAGGAAGGATTGTATCCAGGAGTATGTCTTTCTCCAATCTGTCTTAGAATGGGCAGCCTCTGGTGTTAAGTTGTGGGTGAACATGTCAGACGACACAGCAATTCTTCAAACAGCTCTTGTTTATTCACAGGCCAGAACTGAACTGAAGGGTTCAGCCAGCCTGCTTATATAGAGCTCCACTAGAACGCAACAGTAACCATTTTCTGTAACTATCCAATCACTGAACGTCACTTTCAATCCCTTATTTGCATATGTGGACCAGAGTGAAAACTATCTACAGTATCCCCCTGCTGGCCCAGGGTGAGAACTTCAGTACATAACATCTGGCGACTAGAATGGGCAACCGCTAGCCCGATCTTGCAGCCAGGGGCAAAGCAACCCCCTCTAGTCAGGCTGCTAAGAAAGAGCTGAATGGGGCACCCCATGTTTCCAGCTTCCAGTCTAGAGACCTAGGCTCCACTTGCACTGTACATTTAAAGTACTACTGTACTACTACAACAGTCATGACTTCCTCCAAATAATCCTGGGAATGACGGTTTGTTGAGAGTGCTGAGAGTTATTATGGGCCCCCCCCATAGGGGGGACGCGGGTGGCGCTGTGGGTAAAACCTCAGTGCCTAGGACTTGCCGATCGCCAGGTCGGCGGTTCGAATCCCCACGGCAGGGTGTGCTCCCGTTGCTCGGTCCCAGCGCCTGCCAACCTAGCAGTTCGAAAGCACCCCCGGGTGCAAGTAGATAAATAGGGACCGCTTACTAGCGGGAAGGTAAACGGCGTTTCCGTGTGCTGCGCTGGCTCGCCAGATGCAGCTTGTCACGCTGGCCACGTGACCCGGAAGTGTCTGCGGACAGCGCTGGCCCCCGGCCTCTTAAGTGAGATGGGCGCACAACCCCAGAGTCGGACACGACTGGCCCGTACGGGCAGGGGTACCTTTACCTTTACCTTTACTCCCATCAGAGAACCGCAGTTCCTGGAGTGGTTTAACGGTCAATTTCTCTTGCCAAGGGACTCTGGGATTGTAGCCCTGGGAGGGTTCTCTGAGCAGCGCCTTAAAAAATGACAGCTCCCAGGATTATTTTGCGGAAGCCAGGACTGTTGAAAGTGCTGTGACGCTGCTTTAAATGTATCACACAGTTGCGTTGCCAGCTCCTAACAACTGGGAGGCAGGAGG